AAATGTGTTGTATAAATAAAACTTGATTTGATTTGATTAGGGAGAGAGCTCCACAGTGTTGGAGTTCCACCTGAAAGGCACGGTCACCTTTAGTTTTTAAACGAGACCGTGGGACAGCCAGTAAGCCCTGGTCTGAAGACCTAAGGGACCTACTGGCAATGTAAGGATGGAGAAGGTCACTTATATACTCCGGTGCATTTCCACGCAGGGCTCTATATGTAATAACCAGAACCTTCAAATCAATTCTAAAACGAGTGGGGAGCCAATGTAAGGATTTTAAAATGTGTGTAATGTGTGTCATCCTGCTTGACCTGGTTAACAGTCTTGCAGCAGCATTCTGGACCATTTGGAGGCCTTTTTTTCCTGCCCAGGTTTAGTTTAATTAATAATGGCATGCGAATGAGCAGACTGCATGTTTGTTGCTAACAGATTTCAGATAAAACATTCAAATCTCTATGTGTTTGCATAGTTAGTAAGTCCGGAGGCAGCACAACAATAGATCAACCCCGAGGCTAAACCTGACTCTTTGGAGATCAACAACACTGTCAAAATACCACATTATGTGAAAGCACAACATTTTGTGATTATAATGAGGAACATATACTCAAATATAACATTTAAGGTGATTAATGCACAATACTTGCTCCTTAAGTCTATATGTTATGATGTAACTGTAATCACCCTGTTAGACATTGCATTGTATATTCCCAGTTAACTGTTAACAGTACCTTTATTGTAGAGATATGTTAGAGTACAACAGCTTTACTGTTTTGGTAACAGTGTGATACTGTAAAGATGTTTTGTAGTCTGATACTGCAATTATTCTTGATAGTATTATACTTTATATTTACAATATACTAAATATAGCCTTCTACAATACACTCCTGAATCATGAATATTCCCGCACATGTACATCATTTAAATACCAAACATAAACTAGAAAAACCAGAACAAATACATGTTCATTACTGCGACAGTAGCTTGTACTTGTGAGACGTCTGCCGTACTCATGGACATCATTTAGAGCTGTCTTAATAGTTGCAGTGCTCCAGTATTAATATTGTCACCAGTTTCCGAGCTTTTCATGATATCAAGCAACTCTAGCGTTATAAAGAACCATGCAATGAAATGTCAAACTGCAGCAGTGTCTGCACTTTTTTGCTTATACTCTTGTATATTCAAAATTATGTTACATGCAGGACTTTTACTGGTTACTGAGTATTTGTACGTATTTGTAGTATTGCTTAAGAGTTGATTTATTGTCTTCTATGTTTTTTATAAGTCCAGTTTTTATTAGTTTAATAAATAATGGCATGTGAATGAGCAGACTGCTGTCACGCATGTTTGGTGCTTTCAGTTATCAGATAAAGTTCAAGTCATTATGTGTTTGCATATAGTTAGAAAGGCCGGAGCAGCTCAACAATAGAACAACCCTGAGGCTAAACCTGACAATACATCTGTTCTCTTTGGAAATCAACAACACTGTCAAAATACCACATTATGTAAAAGCACAACATTTGTGATTATTATTAGGAATATGTACTCAAATATAAAATTAAAGGTAATTAATGCTCAATTCTTGCTCCTTAATGCGATGGAAACTTCTAAAGCAATGAAGAAGAGACTCAGAGAGACACGAGGAGAGCAGGGACTTTGATGGCAAACACTGATGGTTTATTTGGAGCTTCGGCCGGAGAATTCACAAGACATGTCGTGTGCCACGAGTTGACACGGCGGTTGCCAAACCAATTCTGACGATCTCTACCCCAGACCCATGTATTTAGCTCTGAGAGGATAATCAACATTGTCCATAACAAGATAAAATAGACAAAGCACAATAACACCTCTATCAGCTGACGCCAACAGGCAGGAACAGGGAGACAGGACACTGAGAGCAGAGCAGCCAAGGCTACAGGTGCCTGTGCTCAGTGAGTCAGGACAGACTGATCACCTGGGTCAAAGTTATGGGCCTAGGAAAATGTTTCCCCAACACTTAAGTCTATATGTTATGATGTAACTGTAATCACCCTGTTAGACATTGCATTGTATATTCCCAGTTAACTGTTAACAGTACCTTTATTGTAAAGATATGTTAGAGTACAACAGCTTTACTGTTTTGGTTACAGTGTGATACTGTAAAGATGTTTTGTAGTCTGATACTGCAATTATTCTTGATAGTATTATACTTTATATTTACAATATATATAGCCTTCTATAAATACACTCCTGAATCATGAATATTCCCGCACATGTACATCATTTAAATACCAAACATAAACTAGAAAAACCAGAACAAATACATGTTCATTACTGCGACAGTAGCTGGTACTTGTGAGACGTCTGCCGTACTCATGGACATCATTTAGTTTCGGTTAAACTGCAGCAGTGTCGGCACTTTTTTGCTTATACTCTTGTATATTCAAAATGATGTTAAATGCAGGACTTTTACTGGTTACTGAGTATTTGTACGTATTGTAGTATTGCTTAATAGTTGATTTATTGTCTTCTATGTTTTTATTAGTCCAGGTCTAGTATAATAAATAATGGCATGTGAATGAGCAGACTGCTGTCACGCATGTTTGGTGCTAACAGTTATCAGATAACGTTCAAGTCATTATGTGTTTGCATATAGTTAGAAAGGCCGGAGCAGCTCAACAATAGAACAACCCTGAGGCTAAACCTGACAATACATCTGTTCTCTTTGGATGAGGTAAAACACTGTCAAAATACTGCATGAAATTAGTAAAATACCTGCATTGAAAGGATAACATAAATTATGTTTTGTATTTACTTGCACATCTCAAAACATTGTCTTGCACTATTTTATCTGTTTTATTTGTTCTATGTCCTAAATATATTCATGTTGCACTGTTGGAGGAGTCTGTGACTTAAGTGTTTCATTGCCATATCTACACTGTAGCTAATATGACCATGACAATAACACCTTGAATCTTGAATAACATTTTGTTTTTAGAATTAGGAAAATGTATATTCCCAGTTAACTGTTAGCAGTCCCTTTACTGTAAATATGATGTTTTTAAAGCAAAACAGCTCAGAAGAAGGAGCTATGTGGACACAGGGCCTTAAGTGGATTTAGCCTTTTCAGTTTTACCCTGACTCCACACTCGTTGACCGGGCAGAGCAGCAGGGGTTTGTGGTCGGGATACAGGAGTGAATACTGACGCTGGAAGTTGTCGGCGATGGCCAGCAGTCGGATCTGGTCGGGGGAGTTAACCCTGTAGGACTCTGGACACAGCGCGTCCACCTTCAGGCTGATGAAGGGCAGGGAATACATGACGTGTTTAACCCCACCGGCACATACCTTGATGCAACAACATGCTTTCATTACATCTACCTATTAACTATCATCTTACCGTGTTTTATTTTCTAATGCATTTTTTGTAAAGTAGGCTACATCTCTTGTGTGAAAAGTGCACTTTAAATAAAGTGTGTTACTATAACCAGGGCTGCAAATAACTGGTGCGCAGGTGCGCATGCGCACCTCCGCCAAAAAAGAGCACCGTGTCATTTGAAAAAAGGCGCATTTGCATACCAACATTGAGAGAGAGAGAGGGAGAGAGAAGGGAGAAGAGAGAGAGAAGGGAGAAAAGAGAAGAGAGATAAATATATTTGCGAGTTGCATAGGAACTCAGGGCCGGCCCGTAGCGCTGGCGTAAATAGATGTTTGCCTAGGGCGCCAGATCTGTGGAGGCGCTGCGCTGGCAGCTCTGGGAGGGAAAAAAACATTTTTGACTGTTGGTGCTCATCCTAATTTTCGGCCTTGATGTAACAACATTCATAATTAAGTAATGTAACACCCTTTTCACCCCGGTTACACGTTTCATTTGCCCTGTACGATGGGCGCTGTAAGTGATGAAAATGGGGGATGTTGGCTTATCTGGCGCCCGCAGCTCTCAGCCAAAATGCGAGTGAGCGTGGGAGAGAGGGAGGGTGCACCGGTACGGCGCTGTTTGTTATTAGAATCTGGTGCCATGCTAGCTGCTCTAACGGATATAAGAAGAAGATGTTTCTACAATGATGTGGAGGGAGAGTCCTCTCCAGTCAGGACTGAGAGGCTGATACTTACAGCTCAGTGAGGTAAAGGACTCTTGAGTGTTTAGATAGTTCACTTTAGTCTAAGTTCAAACGGTTTGGTCACAATTTATGTAAACACACATTTCCAAGGCACTCCTTTATAATTATTGGGATATAAACAGGTTTGAAATCATTCCAATGTATACTATAGGACAGTAACCACAAATATCCTTTTTTAAAAACTGGAGAGATAAAAAAAAAACATAAATAAATATTAAGGTAAAATAAGATATGAATGAACAACACAAATAAAATAAGTTACATTAATTTGTTATTGGCTATGGTAGGTTATTGGTTATGTTCACATACTTATTTGATTACATCCACTTGTCTAAGATGACAACAGAGACTTTCCCCAAAAGCAGCTGTTGACTTGTGATGCAAGCAGCTAATCACAGACTCAACCAGAGAGAAAGAAGTAGGCCTACATCATCAGCTACCATGTCTGACAGAGAGGAAGACAGTCAGGAGGGTAGTGATGACAGCTTGTAGGATTACTGGTCGTGCTAATGTTGTCTTGTGTTCACCTCTGCATGTGTGTTCTGTGTTCACCTCTGCATGTGTGTTCAGCGCGTGAGTCTGGCCAAATAAAGTCAAGACCCCTCAAAAGTTACAGTTTATTTCATTTTTAAGGATGAGCACCCAAGCAACATCTCCAGGTGCTCCTTTGAGAACCAGGGCAAAAAAGTGATGTGCACCCCCTGACTTATAACATACTTTTTAGTAAAAATGTAACCTCTAAAAACTACTTAAAATGTATCATCAAAAGCAAATGACTACTTGTTTCAGCCATAAATGTATAAATATGTATAATATTGTTGAACTTTCCTGTCGGGCTCTCAGACCGTAGTCGAAGAAGAAAACAGGGGGATGACTCTCTGTTTCCTCCCAGGGCAGAAAGCAACCAGCTTCAGGTTCAATAAACCCCCTTTACCAGTGGTTGTAGTGGGGCATTGGACACGGGGGTACGCCGTACCCCCACTTATTTGGAGCATGATCTTTTTTTCAATAGTCTAATAAATATAAAATCATTGCCAGTCTTATCAGTTGCAAGTGTGTATTTGTTGTAATAATGACAAAAAACATAATACATTTCATAGTAATGGCCTATAATAAAAAATAAAAACGATATCCTTCAAAAATGATGATTCGTCATCAACGCTCGTGACCCCACAGCGAGCTGGGGGTGTGTCAGTGACACACCCACGGCCAGGCTCACCGCCCGCCGATTTTGCGGCAGCTCTTTCCCTCAAAAAACGCTAACGAAAAAGCTCTATAATGGAAGGAAAACGTTTTTTACTTGACTTCTTTTCTAAAAGAATATAATTCACAAGAAGAAAGAGGCTAGCAGCACCGAAGCTACAAGGTGAAGCTGCTACTAGTACTACATCATCAGAAGAGCCGCCTAAAGATGTGAATAATGCTAGCTAACGTGCACGTTAGCTGCGCTAGCAACGTCCCCCTGGCTAGCTCAAGTTCACCTTTCCCAGAGGTATGGACGTGCATGTGGCAGAGGAAACAAGAGGCTACCCGTGGATAGACTGCAAAGCTGGGAAACTGGGCTGCTGTTCATCCATTTTCGGATTTATCAGTCTTACAAAACGCAAGGGGTGTGTGTGTGTGTGTGTGTGATGTGTGTGTGTGTGTGTGTGTGTGTGTGTGTGTGTGTGTGTGTGTGTGTGTGTGTGTGTGCTGTGTGTGTGTGTGTGTGTGTGTGTGTGTGTGTGTGTGTGTGTGTGAAGCAGCGCTGTCTGCTTATTTGCAAAGTAGGCTAGGCCTAATCAGAATAATTTCAAGTCCAGATTCAATGTTTGCATTAGTAGGCTATATTTTTCGTTTCGTTTATTTAATAAGTTAATTTCAGGACAACTTTGGGAATTTTGTTTGTTTGTTATGAGTTTTAAATAGATTTTGAAAGTGGAGATAGAGAGAAGCAGCGCTGTCTGCTTAGTTGTAGCTTATGCAATGTAGGCCTATAAATTGTTGTAACTTATGTGCCAGTGTGCCCATGGTTTTGAGTCTATGTGTGTGTTGAGCGCAGCGCCGTCTTCTTTTTGAAGTACAGTAACTAAAGTAGGACTAAGCATACCGGTATAGTTTCTGTGGACCTGCATGTCTGCCCGTTTTGTGAGTGCACTGCGCGCGTGCGCACTTGTGTGGCATTGTTTGGGATGACCTAATTAAAATAGCGTCCCCCCAGTAAAAAAATCCCCACTACACCACTGCCCTTTACTGAAATGACTGGAGAGAAGCGAGCTCTTCTTGGGAGGCCGTTGCATTTATTTAGTTATTCTTGGTACCACACAATACCAGTGGCGAGACGTCAGCGCCCTCTAGGCCCTCTGTGAGGGCCTAAGATATTCTAAAAATAATATTTGAAAACATTATAAAAAAAAACATTTTTTTTTTTAAATATTATTTTTTATATATTTTTTTTTTTTTTTTTTTTTAACCCTAGGTATAAAAGTCACGGCTCGCCACTGCACAATACTTGATAGACCTATATCTTCTGCTGCCTCTTTTTCACTTCCAGAAAAACACACGTTCACTCAACTTCTCGCCTCTACCATACCCACACACACATGCATGCGCCACAACCCCTCTCTCTCTCTCTTAAAGGGATAGCGATCTCACTCTGCATGACCCTAATATCATAACAATATGTAGGAGCTTTAGCCCGATACAAAAGCTTCCATGGTGGCTTAAATCCCGGGGATGAGTTGGCTGACGCGCTTTACTGTGTTTATAGATACCGGTTGTGTTGTTATTGTAATGGCTTAGGCTTGTTTATCGGATGTGGAATAGACAAAGTACATTCCATGTATTGAGCAGGTTTTGTGCATCGTCAAAGTGAGGTCCATACAATTATCCATTCAATAACAAACTTGCGGTACAGCAGTCAAAACCCATTTGCCCTTCAGGGTCAGACACACTCAATCAGATGACAAAACAAACCTTAAATACCTGTGCCACAGGGAATCGGACAGCGACACCTTATGGCACACACCGTGAATAATGGCACATTTCCACTGCAGCGGGGTATCCCCGTTTAAGCGTCCTTAAGCGTCCGCGCTCAGGCTGCCTCGCTGGCCGTCCGAGGCCATGGCGCATTTCCATTACAGTTTAGGACCTGGGGTAGCAACGCAGTGTAGGCGGGGGCGATCGGCTTCACATTTCGAGTTGTTCCTTTGAGCTCCCGTGGATTTTATCATCCCCAATGAGATGGAGGAACGTTTGTCACCTCCTCGGTCGACCACGGTGTGCTTTTCTGTGACGTTGCCATTTTTGTAGCTCCTCCGTTTACAAAAATGCTTGTGTATAAAAATGCTGCAAGCTTGCTTCTAGATATATATGCGACGCTAGGGATGATCTCGCGCGCGATCTTGTGACGATTCTCTCTGACCAATCAGCAGTCGAGAGCGTTGACGTCACTAGTTCAGCTCTGGCCTGATAGAACCACGATTTTTATGGGGCTGGAAAAAGAGGGAAACAGTACCCGCTAGCCGGTGCTACACTATATGGAAAGGCCACCCAAAAACTGGCCTGGCCGCTTGAGGACGATTAAAGACGCTTAAACGGGGCTACCCGCTGCAGTGGAAATGCGCCATAACACCCAATTGTGACATTCCGAAACCCAAACATGAACTCTCATCTAAATGGCTCTTACACCGGCCCCCTAATTGTAAGTGACAGGCTTTCAAGTTCCCCAAAAAAGAGAGCCATTACCATATCACTACTGTTTTATCATCCAGACATGGATCCAGTTTGTAGATATAGGATTTGTTTAATCCTTGGCAAGCCACAGTCCCTTTTGACTGTGTGCCGTCCAATGGAATGCTGCTCTCCATGAGATTTGCTGACCAGTGGCTTCCTGGTTTCCAAAGAAAGTTGGAATATTCAATCATAGTAAGGAAAATGTCTGTCTTATGGACACTAGTTTAACATGGGTTGTTTGTCCTTCAAATGTACTGATGTCCGCACATATGGAAATGTGATGTCAACTTCCAATGCAAATTCCCTACCACCGGCATGGATCACATTTTTACCAACTATGCCTACACACATGCAACACTTGGGGGTTCTATATGCATGTGTCTGAGGGTTAAAAAGTTCATCATTCTGTATATAAATATGTTGTCAATATCATGGACATCTCTCTGCTAAATTGGGATCCACAAAGCTGACACCCTGCATGACACAGCAGTGACTCTGCTGTACATTTCATGAGAAATGGATCATATTCCTGTACATTTTATTGAGTCAAATGTGGATGGATCATGGACAGGTTTCAAGCTTCTTCCCTGGGTTACATATGTGCTGTGAAGTAGCCTGTCCTCTGGGTTGGTGGGGAGAGCGATGGTGCTGGAAGGAGCTCTCTGGGTCACATCCTGCTGCTGCTGCTGCTGCTGCTGCTCTCTCTCTCTCCCTCCCGTATTCAAGTACTTTTACCCAGCGTTCACACACTCATTCCGGGGTAAGAAAGCCATGTGCATCACCCTGGATCTCTGCCTGTGAGGGTGTGGACCCTGCTTACAGCAGTGAACCTGGTGCAGCCTGCTGCTGTAGATGCTGCTCTCTCTCCCTCCCTGTATTTCACAGTTACTTTTACCCAGCTTTCACCACACTCATTCCGGGATAAAAAAGCTGTGTGCATCACCCTGGATCTCTGCCTGTGAGTGTGGGACCCTGCTTACAGCAGTGAACCTGCTGCCACATTGGTCGCGTCCATTTCATGTACATTTAATGGGTAGTTCACATGTGGATGAAATGGACACAATTCCCGGAGGTTCCAGGCCAAATTTGGGAGATCATATGCGGGTCCTGCCATGCGCCCCCCACCCGTGGAAAGCAAAAACAAGTAAATAAAACGGTCACATTATATCTTAACATAATCAAAATGAAGTTTAAAAAATTCTCGAAAAAACGGCTAAGTGCCAACGAGCAGGGGCTCACAAAAGCTCAAGTCTTCGGCGCTTCCGGTGAAAGCCCCGGAGACATTTGCACTACCCCGTTGCATTTTTACAACGGAGAGGGGAATCGAGACCTCCCTTCCTCCGTTCAAAAAATTAATTCATCTTTTCCAAGCTACCATCTGCACGAAATCAGAAACCCGGTTTTTGAGAGCACTTAGAAAAAAACGGCCTATTTCACATGATGGGGAAATCATGGAGGAATGCATCCGCTGCATGAGCACTTTGGATCGGATACAATTGTTGCCTGGAGGACCCCCAATCATGGTTCTTACAAAACTTTAAGTTTTTGAACTGGTCTCTGGAGGAATTCAAGGGGAGTTATCACGGAATAATGAGACACTATTTTCGGATACATTTTATCAATTTTCACCCCTTTCTCTGGTTCTTCCAAAAGTTAATTTATACTTTTTCTGACTCTGGAGGAATGCAAGGGGAGTTTGGGCATACTCTCCCGCCTATGGAACACTATTTTCGGATACAATTTATCCATTTTCACCCCTTTCTCTGGTTCTTCCAAAAGTTACTTTACTTTTTCTGACTCTGGAGGAATGAGAGGGGAGTTGGGCATACTCTCCCCACCTATGGAACACTATTTTCGGATACAATTTATCCATTTTCACCCTTTTCTCTGGTTCTTCCAAAAGTTACCTTAAACTGTTTCTGACTCTGGAGGAATGTAGGGAGAGTTGTCAGGGGACTCTACTCGCCTTAAGAGACACTATTTTCGGATACAATTTATCCATTTTCACCCTTTTCTCTGATTCTTCCAAAAGTTAACTTAGACTTTTTCTGACTCTGGAGGAATGCAAGGAGAGTTATCAGGGGACTCTACCCGCCTTATGGAACACTATTTTGGGGTACTTTTGGGCCTCCTGCCCGGTCCACATGCCGGTGCTTGGCGGTCGGAATAATAATATTTTACAGGGCTCAGAGGT